CTTTTAGATTGACCTACCCAATGAACAAAGCAAAAAAGCCAAGAAAACCACTAGTACGAAGAAATCCAGTTCAAACGTATGGAATCATGTATGTGATATTTGTTCGAAGAAATTTTTCAAGAAACACCGATACGAAGCTCACATGCGAACACATTTGGGCTTGAAGCAGTGGAAGTGTGACCATTGCGAGAGAGCGTTTGATAAATACACGTCACTGACGCTGCATTTATCGGCGAAACATTCCGAAGGAGAACAACCAATATTCAAGTGTGAAGTTGATGGTTGCGACAAGTCATATGCGATGAAGGTATTTCATGATTGAATTTTTGTGATCTTTTCAATTTCATCAAAAGCATTACGGTTTTCATAGAATACCTCTTTCAAAAATCCAATCTGTTTTTTTTTTCTTCGGTTCCTTTCAATAATGATAATTCTTGTCTCCTTTTTGCAGCAAACTCTTCGAGTACACATTCGCAAGGTGCACGAGGGCATAAAACCACCGCTTATCCCGAAAATCTGCGAACTATGTGGCAAATCATTCCAGAGTAATGCTTTACTCGTCAGACATTCTTATACTCACACCAAAGACTCCCCATTCAAATGTGATGTTTGTTCGAAAATGTTCAAATCAAAATACGAACTGAGCGATCATACAATGCGTCACAAAGGGATTAGAAATTTTGTTTGTCCAACATGCGGCCAGCGAAAGACAACCAGACATGATCTTCGGGTGCACATGAAATATCACAATGAAGAGGTTCAATTCCCTTGCAAACTCTGCTCGATGGTATTCACTCGTCAACCGAACATGAAACGACATATGAGAGTGGTTCATCTTGGTGTCAAGGCGTTCCCGTGCCCACATTGCGATCAAAGCTTTGGCAAAGCAGAAACGCTAAAACATCACGTCATGACTCACACTGGCGAAAAGCCACATGCCTGCTCCATTTGCTCCAAAAGGTATTTAATCATTGGTCGTCGCTTCTTTTCTGTTGAAATACATTCACACAATTTATTGGCTCTTCTCTTCTTGTTTCTTCTTCTCAAAAGGTTCATTCAATCCGTCGCACTGAAAACTCATATGAAAACGCATAATAAAATGAAATAAACCGTTTTATAGTGAACAAATTGTACATTTATTGTAAAGAAATGAAAAATATTTTGATTTTATTTTTTTCATGCAGTTCTATCTAGGAAGGTGATAATATTAACAAGGAAACAAATGAATATGTCAAGTAAATTGTTGGAACACGAATACAAACATTCGTGTGAACACGAGATGGTGTCTTAGTATTCTAATTGAAATTGAGCGTGTTCAATGAAATAAAAGAGAATCTTCATGAATACACACAATATTTAATGATCAACAACCCACTATATGCATTATGCAACGACTTTACTCCGATGGTCGTCCACATTTCATGGAAATTATTTATTAGATTGTGGTGTGTGTGTTCTTGCTGACACCGGAAGATTAACTACTTTTGGTGGAATTCCTTGAAAAAATTATGTTCTAAGTGTATCCGTTCAAAACTCAGGCCACAATTTCCAATGCATACTCATTACTCAATCTATTGAAATTTGAGATACACATATGATGAAACGGCAAAACTACAAATCGTTCCCCAGAAGTTTGCCTGTTTTCATTCGTCTCATTCTATGGATCATATCGCCATTTGTTTTTCTTGGACATGAAGCCAAGATGATTGCCGAATATTCAGATGCATTTTATGTATCCGTAAAATTCACAATTTATCTTTAATCGAACAGCGTAAGATATCCATTTTTTGGTTATACTCATTTTAAACCAAGATGCAAAATTGGGACAGATATGTACGTGCCATATATCGTTTGAATATGGATTTTGTCACAATTTAACAGCCAAATAGTATCGTGCTATAGTGTAATAGATACGCCAAAAAGGAATAAGTAAACATACTCCACAATTGAACGCCGTGCCAATATTGTAACATCATATATATCATTTACGCAGGCCATTTTATTTGCAGTGCAATGGAATGAGCACAGCAGAAAATGGAGAGAAAACGATGTTTTGTCTAAGTCCTTTTCATACATGAACTACCACCACCACGCAAAATATTGATAGAGACTGCAATCATAAGCGGAACCATAAAAATACATTGTATTGTGTCACAATAACCATCTTACGTTACAGCAAAGAGTAAATGTATTGGTTAAACCGAAATGTACCAAACCGATCGGTATTTTGGAGCAGAACCACTTGTATATCAAGAGCGAAATACATGCATGTTCTTTCTCTTTTTGTTGCATACCGACGGCGACGCATGTGTTTGTGTGCTAAAGCTACAAACACGAAGCTGCCTGAATCATTTATATTCATTTTTCAGCGCATTGAAACCAATTTTCTCAACGAAGAAAGGCGTAGCTCAGAATTGTTTGTTTTCAGTCGCCATTTTCAAATCGCAAACCTGCTGACAAAGATCGATTTGGAGTGAAGCATTTTTTTCATAAACATTTTCTAGAGACTATTCTACGGCCGATTTGTTTAAAATTGTGTTGTAATATCCACAGTGAGTAGATGAAGCGTAACTTTCGATTAAAATGATAGGAAATCAGTGATCATTTTTATGAAGAAATTAAAAAATCTAAAAAAAAAATTGCGCATTGGTTGAATAGCGTCACTAATTAATTTCGTTATGCGTTTTTTTTTCATTCCACAGAACGAAGTGACAGTGCAGCCATGCTTTGGGAAAAAGATGACGAAGTTAAAAAGTCAAAATTCGAAGAATTGAATGACGATTGTTGCTACGAGATTCTTCGCAAACTGCCATTGGATGACTTGTGCGCTCTCAGTTGCACGTGTGTTCGATTGCACAATTTGTGCTCGAAGCAATTCCAAAAAGAGTATCCATCGAAGGTAATGCGCATCGAAGGAACTTACTTTGATGGCAAACTGATAAAGCAACCAAACGAAGAGAAGTACATCTCGTGCTTCGACAAAAGCATCCGAAATCTTGTACTGCTGTGTAGTAGTGCAAATGATTTAGCCGCAGTGAGCGCGTTTTATAGACAAAATGAAGAAGTAAGTGGTGTTGTTAAGGAAATTCGCTTCCTACATTGGCGCGAAGTTATTCGTCGTTCTAGATTTCAAATGAAAGATGCCGGAGAGGTGCTATCCGATGTGTTGAAATCCGTCGAGACTATTATTTTTGATGATGTTGTTGTTTGGACCGATGATAGTTGGGACGAAAATATTTTTCGCCATACACCAAATCTGAAGCGCTTGACAATTCGTAACGGCCAGTTGACTACCGTTCGTCCAATTAAATGGTTGCAAAAACCATATCCGAAGCTTGAGAGTCTTGAATGGTATGGATTTGAGGTTCCAGATGCAGAGGAATTAAAATCGTTTCTTGCACTCAACCCAAACGTACAACGTATTTCACTCTCCTCGATGGACGAAGGAGACATCAGCAAATTTATAGAACTGGATGTGAAGATAGACGAGCTGTTCTTCTCTTCCCTTGGTGATGATGCTTCAAACCTGAACACTTTGAAGGGCTTGTGTGATGTCCAAAATGTTAAATTGCATTTAGGGATATTTTCCATTAGATATCAAGACACCGATTTGATCTCACAATTAGAATCACTCCAGCCACACTTGGTAGGTCTTTATATGATGTATACCATTGAAGAACAGGTGGTCAGCACAATGGATACGTTTGAACACTTGCAGTGCTTGAGGATCAAAGTGACACGTTTACCGAAGAATTACAAGGCGCTGATGGCAAAAATGCCCAACTTGCGTGAGATGTTTTTGGACCAAATTACCAAGGAATGCCAATTCAAAACAGTCCGTGGAATGATTTTGGCAGCTGTTGGTCAGTTAACGAAGCTAACGAAACTGTATCTGAGAGGGAGCTGGAAGACCCTGAAGAAAATGGATTTCGCTGCAGTTCACCAGGAGCGAACAAAGCTTAAAGGCGCAAAATTTTTGGAAATATTCATTGAATTGTTGCATCATCTCGACGTTTTTCCGCTTGAACGAACCAGCCGATATTTTGACTGCATGGCAATATATCCGACTGCAAGTGAGCCACCCAACAATCCATTCTTCTTCGATATATACAAGCTTCTTGCGGCGAAAAACGACTCAGGTGGTTATGAATGGGAACGTGTCTAGTAGCTCAACCGTAGCCGGAAGTTAACTTAGTAGCCGGAAGTTAACTTCAAATCAACTTGCAAGTTCCAAAAAGTATCAACTCAAAACGAACAACATTTTTACGTAATCTGAATATCAATTTTCATAATTTCATTACCCAATAATTTTTTTGTAAGCGTAAGTTACATGTAAACCATTTTTTCAGTTTTTTTCAAACTCAACCTTTTTTCTTTGCAATAAATATTGAGATTTGCTCTCTAAAATGTCTGCATTCTTAATAATTTTCAATCGTTACTGTAATTTTCAGGCCCATCTATTTTCAGAATACTCTTCATTGTTTGTATTCTTGAATTTTTCATTTGAATTTAGCCCAAGCCAGCTGACATCCTTCAGACCCTTTGAACGCACTCTCAAACTGTCAAACCTATTTCAACTCAACTGTCACTCATTCAAACGACAAACGAAAATATCAACAAACGCGAGCTTCTGACTTGTTTCTTTTCTGTTTGAGTTGGGCCCAAAAATAATTCTGATGGAAAACGTGAAATTATCAGCCGGCAAAC